ACCTCCAAGGTCCTCCTCCTGGGGCTGTTCAACCTCCAAGGTCCTCCTCCTGGGGCTGCTGTACCTCCAAGGTCCTCCTCCTGGGGCTGTTCAACCTCCAAGGTCCTCCTCCTGGGGCTGCTCAACCTCCAAGGTCCTCCTCCTGGGGCTGCTCAACCTCCAAGGTCCTCCTCCTGGGGCTGCTCAACCTCCAAGGTCCTCCTCCTGGGGCTGCTCAACCTCCAAGGTCCTCCTCCTGGGGCTGCTCAACCTCCAAGGTCCTCCTCCTGGGGCTGCTGTACCTCCAAGGTCCTCCTCCTGGGACTGCTCTACCTCCACAGGTGCTACAGGTACTGGTGCCGCCTCTGGCGCCTCTGCAGCAAGAGGTGCTAGAGGGAAGGTGATTAGCCATGCGCGCTGGACAGGGTGGAGGGGTACGGGCATAGCGAGGCCAGCCCCGCCCACACTGCCTACGCTCTTCACGGGCGTAGCCAGTCCCACCCCGCCCACAGTACCTATGCCGCCCAAAGGGGAAGGGGGGGAGAACCACCACCACGGGCGTAGCCAGTCTCACGACGCCCACGGGAACCACCAGTGACTACCAATCGTCCGCCCACGGCTGCTACAGCTTCTCACACGTATGCCATACAGCTCAAGGAACCCTGGCCGCCCACAGACTCTTAGACTCGTATTTAAGGCTTCGTAATGTTACTGAGATATATATATACAACCTTCACCTCACAGTATCCATTCTCTTTCACCATCTTCCCTTCCCTCGTGTAGGGACTGGCACACCTGTACACACCTGTACACAGGTGTCTGTACCCATTGCCAGCCATTATCAATTATCATACCTGCCCCTTCGCCTCCATCCTCCTGAAGCCCCAGGGACAAACCCATACACACACGTGTATACATATAAACTGCACAAACATACACACACATATATATGTGTACACATATACACACATGTATACATTAAGAAACACACGTGTATATGTATATATACGTGCGGGTAAATATGCGCACATGCACGTAAAAATGTGTATGTAGGAATGGCAACATGTTTATTAACATGTATATACATGTCTGTATACATGCATAAGAATGTGAATGGTTGTGCCTATGTATGAATGTATAAACTACCTATGTATGACCTTCCTTCAAACACAACCATATAAACAGACCAATAGGCCAGTTTGCAATCTCAAAGAAGGGGGGAAAGATTCCTTTGTTTGGTTGTAAGTGAACCAATGAATGCTGCCTCCCCTAAAGTGATGAGGACCTTACCTTGCCACGATTTCGGAGCTCAACGTCCTCGCGGCCCGGTCCCCGACGAGGGCTCCTCGACAATATAATTATGACAGGGCCAGTCTCTCTAGATGTTCTAGGGCCAGGCCCTTAAGATCACTGGGTGGAACCTGTATTATGTCCCATATACACCGGGTACCTTTTTGTTATGAGTTCAGATATCTATCTATCTATCTATCTATCTATCTATCTATCTATCTATCTATCTATCTATCTATCTATCTATCTATCTATCTATCTCTCTCTCTCTCTCTCTCTCTCTCAGCACCATGTCCACGCTCATCACCACCTTCTCTTATGTCTTAACGCCATAACCACACCTCTTGCGTCCAATTAACCAACCAGCCTCTAAGACGTTTTTTAGAGTTTGAACTCCTTGTATGCCTGCTGGTCCGAGAACACCCCAAAACCAGCACTCTAACTACTAAGTGACAACTGATAACCATCCATCACCCTGCCTCGCTCACACATCTGTGCATAAAACACATCGGTACATTAATATTCTCACCCCATCTGGGCTTCGCAGCGCCTCGACCCGCGCCCACGCTCTCGCCATACAACGATGTTCAGGCGATGAGCACTTGGAGTGAAGGCAGTATGGTGTTAAGGGCCGTGCCCCTCCACCTCCCTCCTCCCCCTTTACACACCTGTCAGCCATCTCACCTCCTGGGTAACCCTAACAAATCCCATGGTGTGTATATATTGTTTTGTGTGTGTGTGTGTGTGTGTGTGTGTGTGTGTGTGTGTGTGTTGTGTGTGTGTGTGTGTGTGTGTGTGTGTGTGTGTGCTGTGTGTGTGTGGTGTGTGTGTGTGTGTGTGTGTGTGTGTGTGTGTGTGTGTGTGTGTGTGTGTGGTGTGTGTGTGTGTGTGTGTGTGTGTGTGTGTGTGTGTGTGTGTGTTGTGTGTGTGTGTGTGTGGTGTGTGTGTGTGTGTGTGTGTGTGTGTGTGTGTGTGTGTGTGTGTGTGTGTGTGTGTGTGTGTGTGTGTGTGTGTGTGTGTGTGTGTGTGTGTGTGTTGGTGTGTGTGTGTGTGTGTGTGTGTGTGTGTGTGTGTGTGTGTGTGTGTGTGTGTGTGTGTGTGTGTGTGTGTGTGTGTGTGTGTGTGTGTGTGTGTGTGTGTGTGTGTGTGTGTGTGTGGTGTGTGTGTGTGTGTGTGTGTGTGTGTGTGTGGTTGTGTGTGTGTGTGTGTGTGTGTGTGTGTGTGTGTGTGTGTGTGTGTGTGTGTGTGTGTGTGTGTGTGTGTGTGTGTGTGTGCTCTCGGCTCGAGCCTGAGTCGTATCTAAAACCAGTCATAAAAAGAAGAAAATCACAAATTTACCGCCCTAACTCGAACTGGTCGCTACAGCTGGGGGTAGCCAACTCTTGTCCTCTCCTTCAGTTCTCGTTCTCGTTCGTTCTCGCTCGTTCTCTCTCGTTCTCTCTCGTTCTCTCTCGCTCTCTCGCTCTCTCTCACCCGTCCATCTACCATCCACCACCGTCAACGAGGCTGGTTGACCACAAAGGAGGCCATAAGAGGCTCCCCTTCCCTCCAGACACCACCGGTGCTTGGTCCCAGGTAACTCTACCTGCTGCTGCTCTCTTCTTCTCAACCTTTGTCACGCCCGTGCCTCCCTCCCCCCCCCCCGGCACGCCCACCACCATCGTCACGCCCCCATCGCATCCGTCACGCCCCCATCATATCCGTCACGCCCACCCCCCAATCACCCATACCATCGCCTAAGCATCATGGAATATCCGATTATGTGCCTCTGTAACCCTTTACACCACCGCCCACGGGGTGGGTATGGGGTGCATAATAAAGGAAGAAATTAAATTGGAATATTCTCTCACAAACTCCCCGCTGACGGCTGCACCTGATAACATCACATGCCGAGATACACTTAAAAGCAAATAGTGTCAAGACACATGATACTTATCACCAGGTAATCTGCTTGATACCTGCTTGGGTTCTGGGAGTTCCTCTACTCCCCAAGCCCGGCCCGAGACCCTGCTTGACTTGTGAGAGTTTGGTCCACTAGGCTGTTGCTTGGAGCGACTCTCAGGCCCATACCCACCACAGCCCGGTTGGTCCGGCACTTCTTTTAGAAAACAATCTAGTTATCTCTTGAAGATGTCCACGGTTGTTCCGGCAATATTTCTTATGCTTGCTGGGAGGACGTTGAACAACAGTGGACCTCTGATGTTTATACAGTGTTCTGTGATTGTGCCTATGGCACCTCTGCTCTTCACTGGTTCTATTCTGCAAGATGTCAAGATTTTCTGTCTTGACCTTGTAGCTGCGTGACCTGTGACCAGGTCAACCCCCAACAAGCAACTGTTCTACGGTTTCCATTGAAGCCTAACTGATAACTCGCGTCCCTAACACTTTCCTGCCCATTCCTTTCACTCCCTCAAAATCCGTCCCATGTCCTCAATCCTTTCCCCTGTCCCCACCCGTCCCACCAGGGACCCTGTCTACGGGGGAGTATACCTATTTAAGATAATGTTGTAATCCCTTCATGGGTGACCCGCTGCCCGTCTCCCGCCACTCACCTCTGAACACGGCTCCACCTGGTGTAGGGATGGGTGTGGTGTAGGGGTGGGTGTGGTGTAGGGGTGGGTGTGGTGTAGGGGTGGGTGTGGTGTAGGGGTGGGTGTGGTGTAGGGGTGGGGAGGGGTGTGGGTGGGGTGGGTGGTGGGTGTGGTGTAGGGATGAGTGTGTAGGGATGGGTGTGTAGGGATGGGTGTGGTGTATGGTGTAGCAAAGCATTCATGAAGGTAGAATAATGAATGAATGAAGCCCATCTACTTAGCGATTTTAACTTCTTGTTTCATTCAAGGGACCCACTGGGTTCGTCTAATTACCCAAAGCCTCCTAGCATCATATAAGTAGTGAAGAAATATGACATATTTACTCACTATAATGATGGTGCTGAATAGAGAACATAAAAAAAATTATACTTTACAATAATATGATTTTATAACGAAATTAAACGAACCTAAGTGGCAGGTGATGCCATAGGAAGTCGGCGATTCAAGCGTCAATATTGTGGAGCGACTTATCCAAGAAATATTGTTGCCTGGAGTGTGTCTAATAGCATATCAGCCTCCTGTACCTAACCAAATATATCCTCCAGGCAACACTATATCTTCCAGTTACAGCCCCACTCCTGTGCCAGGTAAGTCCCCTACGGGCTCACCCTAGCCCGTGCTACTTGGATTTTTTTTGTTCCGAGTTGCTGAATCTAAAACAACATATATATCTTGGATAACTGCTCGACCTGCTTGAGGACGAGGGTGATAGTGACCCAGCGGTGCCTACCTGCTTGAGGACGAGGGTGATAGTGACCCAACGCTACCTACCTGCTTGAGGTCGAGGGTGATAGTGACCCAGCGGTACCTACCTGCTTGAGGACGAGGGTGATAGTGACCCAGCGGTACCTACCTGCTTGAGGACGAGGGTGATAGTGACCCAACGCTACCTACCTGCTTGAGGTCGAGGGTGATAGTGACCCAGCGGTACCTACCTGCTTGAGGTCGAGGGTGATAGTGACCCAGCGGTACCTACCTGCTTCAGGTCGAGAGTGATAGTGACCCAGCGCTACCTACCTGCTTGAGGTCGAGGGTGATAGTGACCCAGCGGTACCTACCTGCTTGAGGACGAGGGTGATAGTGACCCAGCGGTACCTACCTGCTTCAGGTCGAGAGTGATAGTGACCCAGCGCTACCCACCTGCTTGAGGTCGAGAGTGATGGTGACCCAGCGATACCTGCTGCCAACAGCGAGGCTCGGGGACTGCCACCAGGAGTTGGTACCGTCGATGGCGTTGGTGACGGGGTGATGCCTGGCCGGGTCGGGAGAGCGGGCGTCGCACACCCCACACTGGGGCGCGCGGTTCCCGGAGTGGTCCGTCAGCTTGCAGTACACCTGTCAACACACACCAAAATACATAATTACTCTTAACACAACAAATGATTATCCATGATAGCAAAGAGATCTAATGATTAATTAAACTCAGCAATCATATCAATTAAACACGGTCTTTCTTATATGCTACAGGTGCTTCCTTGAGGTACTTCCGGGGCTTAGTGTCCCCGCGGCTCGGTCGTCGATCCTGTTGCTGGATGATCATATATATATATATATATATATATATATATATATATATATATATATATATATATATATATATATATATATATATATATATTGTGACGATAATCTCTTTCAAGAGAGATTGAACCTGCTCTTCCCTACACAAGTACGTCAATATACAAGATATATAGAAGATACGTCCACCAAGTATCGCCAAAACGTTTTGCCCAGAGAGCAAATCGTACCCAGCACACAGTGACACCTGCTACCTACCACCACTGGCCTGCCTGTCGCTGATTGGTTGGTGTCCCGTCGCACCTGCCTCAGCCTCCGCCACAAGTTAACGTCAGGGCTGCACGGCAGGGATCGTCAAATATCTCAGTGCTCCAAGCAGTTTACATCTCTCGAGACTACGACTAAGAGTGGCAGCTCGAAGCCAATTCCAGCATCATTAATATTTTATTTTGCTATCACTGTAACTCACTTTTTAACGTAACTTTTCATTTGCCAGTGATTATTCATATATATTTTGTATATATACTATATTTCATATTTTATGTGCTTAACTTTATTCATGTCTTGTTTTTCTAAAGTAATTAAAATTTCATTGTTAATTTACTTGTGTTTTGTGTGTCATCCCATTACCTTACCACAGACGAAAGCTCCACCTTTTCTCTTTTTTTTCTATTATGTGACGAGGCCCTGCCCCTAGCTTTTGAAACAGCCGAACACCAACGCTTTGGTGTATATATATATATATATATATATATATATATATATATATATATATATGTATATATGTATGTATATGTTTACGTAACCAGCAATGTTACATACTTTAATAATTAATTTCTACGGATTTTGTCTTCATTATTTTCACTTAATACATAAAAGTATACACATACATATGTAAAACGTGTCACCACATGTACTCAACGACACGAGTATGTCATTTACATTAAAACAAAACTAATTTATGATAATCCTTCAATGTTTACAAATAGTAATCAGCTGTTAAGGCCGCCATAATCCTAGACCATAATGATATGATCAGTGATTAATTGATGTGTTTATTACGTCGACAACGGATTGATGGTTGTTAATTAGGAATGTCAATGGTCACTTCTTTAACATAAATCAGGGTGTCTGTACGCCCTCCCAGGTGAGGGGGCCATCAACTAGGGCGGCCCCACGCCCTCCCAGGTGAGGGGGCCATCAACTAGGGCGGCCCCACGCCCTCCCAGGTGAGGGGGCCATCAACTAGGGCGGCCCCACGCCCTCCCAGGTGAGGGGGCCATCAACTAGGGCGGCCCCACGCCCTCCCCATCAACTAGGGCGGCCCCACGCTCTCCCAGGTGAGGGGGCCATCAACTAGGGCGGCCCCACGCCCTCCCAGGTGAGGGGGCCATCAACTAGGGCGGCCCCACGCCCTCCCAGGTGAGGGGGCATCAACTAGGGCGGCCCCACGCCCTTGCCACCAATGATACGCCAAGCCCACCACCACCACACACTACATCCTAAAAGATTAACTGCTCGGTGCTTCATCCCAGCTCATGGGCCCTAATTTGGAGGGCCACAACACAGCCAGACAGCTGCCGCCTCTGATCCGCTACCAGAGACCACTGCCCAGGGGCCAGATTCACGAAGCAGTTACGCAAGCACTTACGAACCTGTACATCTTCTCTCAATCTTTGGCGGCTTTGCATACAATTATTAAACAGTTAATGAGTTCCGAAGCACCAGGAGGCTGTTTATAACAATAACAACAGTTGATTGGGAAGTTTTCGTGCTTGTAAACTGTTTAATAAATGTAATCAAAGCCGTCAGAGATTGAAGAAAGATGTACACGTTCGTAAGTACTTGCGTAACTGCTTCGTGAATCTGTCCCCAGGTTCTCTAAACCATACCGCAAATATCCTCTAGTCTAAACTACAATTTTAAGCAATAGATCACTATTCCCGCTCTAGAGTTCTACATGGGGGCTCCTCCCCCTCTATAGAGTTTCAAATGGAGCTCCTCCTCCACTCCTATGACCCATACCCTACCTATTACCCCTTTACTCCCCAGGTAAAGGTAGCCAGGCAGCCGTATCATGTTATTTTCCTAAGGTCACAGACCTATTCACTCCCGATGTGCCACTCGCTCACCTGTTCCCTCCCACCGTCTCCTGGGGTGAGGGAGGCCTCGCCCAGCAAGATAGTGGACCCAGTCAGCCGCAGAGGAAGCCAAGTGGACCGTGAAACAAGTAACCACAGAGAGCTCCACCACCGTCAATTGTTTTCTCACGTCCTTGTGAGTAACTGTTGTGAGTAACCACCCCAGCATCGCCCTCCTGGGTCATGGTGTCCCTGCGGCGGCGTCTCCTTACCCATAATGCTTAATATAAACGTCGCAAACAGAATATAAACGTCGCAAACAGAATATAAACGCCGCAAACAGAATATAAACGACACAAACAGAATATAAATGTCACAACCAAAACAAACGTTACAGCGCTGCACGTGCTATGGATATCGTAGCTTGATGGGGTTCTGAGAGTTCTTCTACTCCCCAAGCCCGGCCCGAGGCCAGGACAGACTTGTGAGAGCTTGCTTCAACAGGCTGTTGCTGGGAATGTATCACTATTAAACATGTCATTTTCTGCTACCCGACCGAAAACTGAATTTATATCAGCTTGTAGTTTTTCAGCGTCTTCTACCGAAGTCATTTTCATGCTGATTTTTGTGTCATCTGTGAAAGATGACACGAAGATGATGACTTGTATTTTTCTCAATATGAGAGTAAGGAAAATATGTAACGAAAGGTACTATGCTCTGCCTCTGTGCCCTGAGGTACAGAGCTTTTCACTGTACTTGGACACGACTTCGATTAACTCTGTTTTTCCGTTTGACAGAAAATTGAAAATCCATTGCTCTATTTTACCCGTTATTCCTGTTGACCTCATTTTGTGGGCTATCACAAGGTCAGTGTGTTAGGTGTATTATATTATAGTATTATAGATCTGGTATTAAATGCCGTTGCAAAATCCATGTATACCACATCTGCATCTGTTTTACTTCCAATGCATCATTGTAGTAGCTGAGAAAGGCATGATCTTCCCGCTCAAAATCCCATGTTGACCTAGTTTGTGGAGGGCATTTGGTCTCCAAATCTCTCTATGCCCCTGTTACCTAGCAGTAAAATAGGTACCTGGGTGTTAGTCAGCTGTCACGGGCTGCTTCCTGGGGGTGGAGGCCTGGTCGAGGACCGGGCCGCGGGGACACTAAAAAGCCCCGAAATCATCTCAAGATAACCTCCATAAAACTGGAGACCGTAATCACTCCCTCATAAACTGTTATTACTGGAACATTAGTGCAACTGGTCCATAATTCTTAGCCAATACTTTGCTTCCTCTCTTGTGAAGCGGAGCTATTGCTTCCTCTCTTGTGAAGCGGAGCTATAGCTTCCTCTCTTGTGAAGCGGAGCTATAGCTTCCTCTCTTGTGAAGCGGAGCTATTGCTTCCTCTCTTGTGAAGCGGAGCTATTGCTTCCTCTCTTGTGAAGCGGAGCTATTGCTTCCTCTCTTGTGAAGCGGAGCTATAGCCGCTGATGTAAGCGCTTCTGGCGTCTCCCAAGTGTCCAAGCTCTTCCTCCACACTATACTGAGTGCCTGTGCTACTGGCACTTGGCATTTCTCTATAAATATTGAATTCCATGAGTCTGGACCCGGGGCCGAGTGCATGGGCATGTTGTCAATTTCTCTTTCAAAATCTGCCGAGTTCGTGCTGGTTTTAGTACCCATGGTACTAATGTCATTTAAAAAAGCTATGGAGAAATCATGCTACATATGTTGTACTGCACGCTGCAGTTATGCATAGCAGTGCATTTGGCACTGTTCGAGAATGAAGGATGGATCCCTGCAAACATAATCCGTAACTGTCTCTATTTTCCGCTTGTTACAACTTGTAATAAAGTTGTTACATCTTGGCTTAACGTGTTTATGACGTATTAGAACGTTGTTGTATATAAGTTGCTATAACTTATATTGCTATATAAGTTATAGCAACTTGCTATATAAGTTGTTATAACTTATATAGCAAGTTGCTATATTGGTTGTTATAACTGGCTAGGTGTTAAAACTTGTTCGAACGTTGTACCAACGTCGTAGTTTCGGTGTGTGTTTGGCGGGATGAAGGGTGGAGCTGGAAAGGGTGAGGGAAGGGAAGTGGGAAAGGGAGGGATGGCGAGGGACAGGGATGGGCAGGGCGGAGGGGCACGTGGGCAGGCACACCCACCACTATGTACACAGGGACACCCGTACACTCACCGCCACCCATCACCTCACAAACGGCAGGGCCAGAAATAGCCTGAAGTTGAAGGGACGACGACGTTTCGGTCCGTCCTGGACCGAAAAGGACCTGGACCGTCCGTCGTCCCTTCAACTTCTAGTGTGTGGTCTGGTCAACATACTTCAGCCACGTTATTGTGACTCAACGCCTGCATAGCCTAAGTTACTCTATCCCTTTGAGATGTATTTTCTTGTCTCAATAAACGTACTTGATCTTGAACCTTACAAACGGTTATCAACCACTGCGGTAGACACCTGTGGAGCCACCTGGGCAACACACACCTGTCACACACACCTGTCCAGTCCAGCCAGTATTGTAATGATTGGAATACGTTACGGATAAAGAAACCCAGTCTGATAAATATCACTGTCTACTTGCTGTTCTGTTTTGGTGAATCTTTTATGTAATTAAGACACTGTAATGTTTGTCTATAAACTTCCACAATTATACTGTAAAGTACATAAACAACCATTTATGAATAAAGTCTTTTGATTGAGAATTTAGCTCCAAGAGAGACACACACACAGGCGGGTCTATCAGAGTCCTCTAGCGGTTGGAGGGTCCATCTAGAGATATCCTCCCCCCCCACAGCCCCCCACCCTCAAACCCCCTCTCTCACCCCCTCCCTCTTTCACCCCTCCCCCTTTCACCCCCCCCCCCTCCACTACCCTCGCGAAGTTTGACTTGTTTCTTCTCATGTTTGGCCACTCCCACGGCCTCTGTTTTAGCCCGATAAGGCATATCAAAGTGTGGGGGGGCGATGGTGGTGGTGGTGAGAGGACGACCTGGTGATACACGACTCTGTTTATGTCAGGTGACGCGGACACACGCACGCTGTCACACAGCTAACATCAAGCTATTATATACACCACTCTGTTTTTGTCGGTTGAAATCTGAGGAAGATACTTGCTGCCCTCTTAAAAGGAGAGAGAGAGAGAGAGAGTGAGTGAGTGAGTGAGTGAGTGAGTGAGTGAGTGAGTGAGTGAGTGAGTGAGTGAGTGAGTGAGTGAGTGAGTGAGTGAGTGAGTGAGTGAGTGAGAGAGAGAGAGAGAGAGAGAGAGAGAGAGAGAGAGAGAGAGAGAGAGAGAGAGAGAGAGAGAGAGGAGAGAGAGAGAGAGAGAGAGAGAGAGAGAGAGAGAGAGAGAGAGAGAGAGAGAGAGAGAGAGAGAGAGAGAGAGAGAGAGAGAGAGAGAGAGAGAGGAGAGAGAGAGAGAGAGAGAGAGAGAGAGAGAGAGAGAGAGAGAGAGAGAGAGAGAGAGAGAGAGAGAGAGAGGAGAGAGAGAGAGAGAGAGAGGAGAGGAGAGAGAGAGAGAGAGAGAGAGAGAGATTAAAGCAGATTAAAGCAGATTGTAGTTAAAACTACAATCCCTGGAAAGTTAGCCCACACCAAGAATAACCCCAAAATAATGAAGGGAAAACCCCCTACCACCTTTCCCCGAGGATCAGCTGAGGTGTAGAACGTCACAGTCGCAAGCTTTACGAGCAGCCTTCCTCACTAACACGACCCGAACGCCGTCCGCAACACGACTGTCGTTGCCATTAGTAGACTTAAATACTTTATTTTATGGGTGGAGCAAAAGAATGGGCCGAGGTACAGGAAGGTGAGACGGTAGAAGCTCTAGTCCTCCAGCTCCAGTACACGTCGAGTGATTACTTCACCTACCAAACCTCGTGGTGTAGTGGTAAGACACTCGCCTGGCGTTTCGCTAGCGCTTTGTCCTGGGTTCGTATCCTGGCCGGGGAAGGTTTACTGGGCGCAAATCCTTAGCTGTAGCCTCTGTTTAACCCATCAGTAAAACGCGTACCTGGTTGTTGAACGATTTGGCGGGTCGTATTCCGGGGGGACATAGGATTAAGGACTTGCCCGAAACGCTACGCATGCTAGTGGCTGTACAAGAATGTAAAAAAATCTTGTATAAAAAAAAATGACAAAATTGTTCCTTGTTCGTCAAGGGCGCCAGAGACAGGCTGCGATCATGGCTTGTGTTCTCACCCTAGTGACACTCATATTACTGGGTTCGAAGCTTACTGCCAGCTTCCAGGGTGTGCAGTACCCAAGACTGATCACAGTCCTCCACACATGCCATCATCACATCACCAGTGCAGACTGCTTATCACATGCCTCTGCATGACTAACCATCCTGTGTGATGAGGATTTTTTTAGCATCACCCAGTTAGCTTTTTTGACACACTGTACTCCACTTCATATAGTCTAGGGTAGCTGCACTAATGCAGATGTACCTCATGTATTAATAAAAAAAAAACATCATCACTGTTCCCTGGTGTCACTCGTATCTAACAAAGGAATCACAACAAAGGTCTGTAATTTGGATGTGCTATTTCAAAGTTACGGATGACCCGTTCCAACTTGGGGCAGATTTTGATGATTTTGTGATAGAAATCATTGACAAGACTGAAGCACGAAGCCGTACAGAACAATTCGGTATTATTTGCGCGGCACAAGAAGAGAACAAAAGAGTTTCAGTGCCGAGATCCGACAGACATGGCGCGTATAATCCACTCTATTGAAATGAAAATTGAAGAAAAAGTTGTTTCACTGGCAGGAACCAGCTGACCACGCAACCCGTTCTCGATTCAAGTCCATTACAGCCAGCGGTCGACCCCACAGACGCATTCATAAATTTTAACATGCTGTTCATTCAAAACAGGAATTTTCTCATATATAAATTAATATTTTGCTATAATAACATATTGTGCATATATAGGCATAGGTTAGGTTAGGGGGTTGGGTTCTGTTGGCGATTATTTGTATTTGTAGTACGTGGGTGAAGCATTTATAGCGTTGTGGTTCGATAATTCGTCAGTGAAGCACTTGTTTCGGAAGTGTTCGAACGAAATCAGTTGTGAGTCGTGTGTAAACCGTTTTTCATTCATAAACAGGGGGTTTGGCGGGTGGATGGAATCACTTTTGGATCTTTGTTTTAAGGACGGGCTGGTGGCAGAGGTGGACGAAGTTCCTATAATATCGATACAACACAACACAGAAAGTACGAAGATCCTGTGTTGTTGGTCTGCAGATTGACCCTTACATGAACGGTCGTTGCCTGCTCGCCATCAACATACAAAAGGACACATGCAACAGATGTGACTACCAGGGGGAGCCGGTCGGCCGAGCGGACAGCACGCTGGACTTGTGATCCTGTGGTCCCGGGTTCGATCCCGGGCGCCGGCGAGAAACAATGGGCAGAGTTTCTTTCACCCTATGCCCCTGTTACCTAGCAGTAAAATAGGTACCTGGGTGTTAGTCAGCTGTCACGGGCTGCTTCCTGGGGGTGGAGGCCTGGTCGAGGACCGGGCCGCGGGGACACTAAAGCCCCGAAATCACCTCAAGATAACCTCTAAAGGAGCCTTATTTGATTGCGTGAATATTCTCATCACTCGTAATTCGACGCTATGTGTTTTGCATCTTAATCTCACCGCTGTCCTTGTAAGCAATAATTCCCAACGTCGGACACACCTGTTCACTGGTCCAGCCCACACCTGTAATGACTAGTATAAATTCCCTGCGAATAAACCGTCTAAATCTAAAAAAAAAATGCCGCGGCGGCATATGTTTATGCCCACGCACAGTGGGGGGGGGGGGGTTACTGACCTCTGGGCCATCCTGGCCGCAGGTGGCGTTGGCCGTGATGTGGGCGCGTGTGGCCAAGTTGATCACTTGGGGGAACACGCCCTTCTCTCCGTTGATCGCGTCTCCAATGCCTTCCTCTGAAACACAACATACAACATACTGTACTTTACAACATACTGTACTTTATTTAATCCAACCAACATTATTTAATGCTTGGATTAAATAAATAATATGAACATCATGAAAGAAACTGCAGAAGGCCTCTAGGCCTCTACGAAGCAAGGCTTAAAACAAGGCAACTGTTAGACAAATTGCCTAATCACCTGGAACTCCTTAACAGTAGCTCACCTTACCTGGAACCTCTAAATATGCTACATCGGGAACGTCTTGACAATACTAACAATACCCACAGCAGTGTTCCAAACTCACATACTGAGGCGTCCTTAAACGTAGTGGCCAATAGTGTATAGTGTACTGCCTTAATTAAAATACTATTACCAAGGTCACCCATAAAATCTTCATGCGCGTTTTCTGTTACATAATTTTGGAGCCAAAATTTTTGGAGCTACAATTTTGGAGCTTGTAGTCCCCCCCCCCCCCCCCCCCCCCCCCCCCCACCAAATAAGCTACATGTTTTGACTTATTATTATTTGTTTCAGTAGCTTTCATAGGTTCTATCAACGTTCTTATTTCCTTTAAGAAACTGCAAGAGGACGGGAAGATCAACCCCTTGAAGTTGCACCTACTCCTTCAACACAACGCAAGGATTCATCAAGAAACAACTAACGAAACCTGTATATTTTACTTAATCAAAACGTTTTTTTTTTACATTTATTAAACTGTTTACGAGTTTCAATTCCTCAAAAACCCAAGATTTTTATTACTATAAACAACCTCATAAGAGATACAGAACTCATAGAAGTAAACAAAGCTGCTATGACTGAGAAAAGATGTACAGGTTTCGTAAGGTTAATGTATCTACCCTGTAATGGTTCCAGGGATCAGTGTGTCCCCCGGGGCCCGGTGTCTAACTGGATCCCAGGGGGGGCCTGGTCAGAGACCTAGACCCCGGGGATCTTCAGACAAGAGAACTGAACCCTTATAACAAGCTCTGAAAACTACCATTAAAGGTTTGTATTCCTTGTCCTATCGTGCAATCACTGAGGGGTGAGAGATAAGAGATAATGACACTCAAAGGCACTTAAGAGAAGGCTGGGTATAAAGGGTTTACTCTCAAGCATCATCACAGGGAGCCACTTGGCAAGAATATGGATGCCACACAACAGCCGGACCTCCAGATCTTCAGTTTGAGTTTCCGGTTCCACTCGGACCTTACCACGCCCACGCTAGCACGCCCACACTAGCACGCCCACACTTCAATATTTTTCTAGTGACATTTACTTCCCTACAAATGGAGGATATAGTCATGGGGAAATTTATCTTGGCTGACAACACTGTCTGTCAGCAAAGTGTTATATAAAGCAGTTAATACTGTAATGTATTTATTGGTACTCATATAGTGCTTATCAAGGCTTTCAGTGTATACACACACACCCATCAATTGATTAACGGTTGAGAGGCGGGACCAAAGAGTCAAAGCTCAAACCCCGCGACCACAACTAGGTGAGTTCAACTTGGTGAGTACACACACACACACACACACACACACACACACACACACACACACACACACACACACACACACACACACACACACACACACACACACACACAGTAGGGAAAGAATGCAGACCTCGTGGCCTTTGATAACACACTATTGATATTCATCTCAGACGTCACCAATTTTCCCAGTGGGTGGCGGGCACACACACACACGCCACCCATTGTCTGGCCTCACGTGGTCCTTGTGGGGCCTCAGCTGATCCAGTGAAGCCTCAGCTGATCCCAGTGTTCCTCAGCTGATCAGAATCCTTGGGAAACTTGATCTCAGCCGGCTGGGGGGAGGGAACACAACCCTACAGTACACCTATAATTTGCTGGAGAATTCAACAATACAATAATACTTCAGTCTACGTCTGTTTGGTTCGCGTAGAAATAATGATAAACAATGACGTACATCTGACAACGTCGCCAAACACACTCATTATTGTCAGGTATTTACAGAATGTTTTCATTATCCAGGATATTACTTATCCAAGTCCACATCTTCCCTTGATTTCTTCCCACCGACACGACGTTTTTTTTAACCGGAGCTCCAATAAAAAAAGGAGAAGTGATCATAGAATTGTTATTGCTTGTTCAGGAGCAGAAACAGCGAGGCAAAACCTGGGTGTAACGTGTATTTTTGTACCGAGATCGTGACATACTCAGCTCGGTGTAGGAAGCAACCTAAGTTGTTGACATAACCTGTTTATTTTCCCAGTGATTTTATCAACTGTGAACGTCCCCGCACAGGCGAGGCTACCTCGTAGAAAACGGACATGTGTATTTTCGAATGTGCATTTTTGCTACCAGTACTGGGAATAGTTTAGTCTTTAATAATGGTTCGTGTTTAGTTTTTTTGTTGCACTTTCAACTATATCATTTGCTGATTACGCTATGTACAACAGTGGCTGAGTGAGACACACACACACACACACACACACACACACACACACACACACACACACACACACAGGCGCGCGCCTGGGGGCCTCGCGGTTGAGTGCACATTACTTTGGGGTCGTAGTCCTAAGGGGCCCGGGTTCGATCCCCGGTATAGGCAGAAACAAAATGGGCAGTTTTTTTTACCCTGATGCGCCTGTTCACCTAGCAGTGAATAGATACTTGGTAGTTAGACAGCTGTTACGAGTTGCTTCCTGGAGATGTATATGTGTGTGCGTGTGTGTGCGTGCGTGCGTGTGTGTGTGTGTGTGTGTTTACTAGTTGTGTTTTTGCGGGGGTTGAGCTTTGCTCTTTCGGCCCGCCTCTCTACTGTCAATCAACTGTTTACTAACTACTTTTTTTTTTTTTTTTTTTTTTTTTTTTTTTCCCACACCACACACACACACCCCAGGAAGCAGCCCGTGACAGCTGACTAACTCCCAGGTACCTATTTACTGCTAGGTAACAGGGGCACTTAGGGTGAAAGAAACTTTGCCCATTTGTTTCTGCCTCGTGCGGGAATCGAACCCGCGCCACAGAATTACGAGTCCTGCGCGCTATCCACCAGGCTACGAGGCCCCCTCGTAGTGTGTGTGTGTGTGTGTGTGTGTGTGTGTGTGTGTGTGTGTGTGTGTGTGTGTGTGTGTGTGTGTGTGTGTGTGTGTGTAAGGGAAATATGTGTAGCAGACATAATATAGGAAAAATAAATTGGTTAGAAAGGCGGGGTCCAAGAACTAATAGCTCAATTCTGCAGATACAAATAGTAAACACACACACATTCTAAAATACAAATATGATAAATTCGTGGTAACTAAGTAATTACATTAATCTAAGAACGTTCTGAAGGCGGGGCTAGGAGTCAAACAAGTCCCTGGAAGCAAATGTAGGTGAGCACGCACGTCACCCAGGCATCTTCCTGTCACCTGAACACACCTGTATCACCCAGGTATCTCTTAGCGTCACCTAAATACCATTACCGTCACTTGCGCGCGTCCCTTTGTCAGGCGAACGGCGCCCATGTCACCTAGTGCTGCCCTCTGACCGCCATTCCCTGCAGATCGAGTAGGGTCTGACACCCGCGAAAATTATCAACCCCTCTACGTCATCACCATTCTACAAACCTAAGCTATCCTAACGTAGCGTATCTTATCCTAACGTAGCGTATTATATCCTAACGTAGCGTATTCTATCCTAACGTAGCGTATTCTATCCTAACGTAGCGTATTCTATCCTAACGTAGCGTATTCTATCCTAACGTAGCGTATTCTATCCTAACGTAGCGTATTCTATCCTAACGTAGCGTATCTTATCCTAACGTAGCGTATTCTATCCTAACGTAGCGTATTCTATCCTAACCTAACGCAAATAAAAAGTAGTGTTTTGTTTATAGAGTGCAGGAGGTGTGTGACGTCATACTGTCCCCTGCCGCTACAGGTTATAGACCGTGTTACGGGATCACCTGATGGGTTACTGCACTCTATTGTAATTATGGGTCAATAATTATGTGTCACGCTTGGCCACATGCTTCGTGAATCACTCCTTTTTTTATGTAGCATCTCTTCTCTGGTTCATTCTTCACTTTCCCGTTATTCTCTTCACAGTCTGTTATTTTCATCTATTCTCCGCGCTCCCCCATTGTCTTCATTCTTCTCGCCTTACTCTCCTGATAATTACTCGTGTCTTTCTCTTTGTCTCCCTTTCTCTATCCGTCTCTCTCTCTCCCATCATGAGCGGACTGGTTTGGGCGGGAGTTGGACGATGGGTTTGGGAGCAGGAGGAGGGCGGACGCGGGCGGGCGACTGCAGTAATAACGTGATGCTGTTAATATTGTGAGGAAACTTTCTCCATGGCGTCAAGTCACGTCCAACGAGCGGGCCCGTCGAGGCCAGGTGGGCCACCCAGGCCCCCCGGGGCCCACCATGGCCAGGTGGGCCATCCAGGGCCCCCGCGGGCCACCAAAGCAAGCCACCCAGGCTCCCGGTGTCGCCCACACCAAGCGACAACACATCAGTGACCCACCTCAACACTAGGGCCGGTAGGCAGATGAACTTATAGCTAGCCTGGGGAGTAGACAAACTCCCGAGACCCTCTCCAGGTAAACTCCGGGTAAACTTCACGGACCAAGAAAGAAAACCTGCTGATACACTGAAGCAACTGTAAACACTCAGACCCCTAGAACCAAGACACAGAAACAGAAGAGAAAGCCACACAAGAAATAGGAAAACTAACACAAACTACTCACTTATGAAATGAGGAAATACTCCCTGACTGACAAGGGAGGTGAAGACACCGATAACGATTAAGAAATGTGCGGTATCCGGAAAGAATAATTTTAATCCATGTTGAGCAATGAGATGAACGTAGAAGATCCTAATGCCTCTTCATGAACTCGACCCATCTTGACAGATACATGGGATACCTTAAGGTTATCTTGAGGTGATTTCGGGGCTTAGCGACCCCGCGGTCCGGTCGTCGACCAGGCCTCCTCGTTGCTGGACTGGTCAACCAGGTATTGGTCAAGGTATTACAACAA